CATCTCATAAAAGGGTTAAAGGTTGAGGCTTTGGGGTTTAGGGGTTTAGGTTTTAGGGTTGAGGGTTACAGGTTTAGGGCAGTTACATGGTCTCCTAATGTGGACCCTGAACATGGAACCCCTTTTTGACCTCTCATATACCCATACTTCAGAGCCTTTTACAGGAGGTAACAGACCATATTACGGGCCCACATAACCACCCTCAGATCTCATGCCAGGAGTTCGTCGAAAATACCCTACGACTGACAAGGGTTGAGGGTTTAGGGTTAGGGGTTTAGGGTTAGGGGTTTAGGGTTACGGTTAGAGGTTTAGGGTTAGGGGTTTAGGATTTGGGGTTTAGGGTTTCAGGGTTTAGGGTCTTGTTTCGCACCAAGCTCTTCCCTCAAGTTGGTTCAGCTGCAAAAGGCCTTCGAAATCCTATCTAGACCCAGGAGTAACCCAGGAATAGAAAGGGTACCCTTTGTGGTGTTAAGGTGATGAAGAGGGGACCCCGTCATAAGGGCGCCGCACTAGTTTTGGGACCTAAAAAGGGGCCCTGATTTAGAGAGCTACCCTTCGAGTACCCTTATAGAAACCTTATGGATCCCTTCAAGGAAGCCTGAAAAAAGCGGGATCCTAGTTTAAAGAACTACCCAAATACCCCTAAACCCCTAAACCCTTAAACCCTTCAACCCTTCAACCCTTAAACCCTTAAACCCTTAAACCTTTGAACCCTTAAACCCTTAGGGCCTTAAACCCTTAACCCTTAAACCCTAATACTTAAGGCTTCCTTGGCTCTTCGGCTCGGGAGGGTTTTAGGGTTTAGGGCTTTGGGGCTTTAGGGTTTAAGGTTTGGGGCTTTGGGATTTAAATTTAGGGTTGATAAACCAGATTCAGATAACAACTGATACAACCAACCACATCTGCGAGCGCATGAGACCGATCGATATCAACCCCTGGAAGATTCAAGCTTTACGACATGAAACCGGATTTGCTGATTAAACGCTGTTGCATGTGTCTGCGACGCATTGGTACTTTACAGTGCTGATGCTTTCACCTACTGTGGCACTTTGGGTTTCTATCTCTTGGGTTTCACTTTCGGATTGATGTTGGCTTGAGGGCCACATAGAGGGCTAAACGGCGCCTTTTCAGATCCCAATATTAACTTCTGGGTGTGTTCCGGAATTCCTCAACACGCAGCCCTGCCCCAAGATCCAAAAACCCTCTATTGGCACCCCGCAACACCCAACACACCGTTTAGTGGCATCTCTCTGCGCAAGGCTTGTTTGGACAGGTTTCGACCAATCAAGACTTCAAATATTCTAGATCTCAGTGCCGACGAATTCTCCTTCGCGCCTGAAGATGAGCAGTCTGTCAGCTTGAACACAGGACTGCAATGGACGGTCAGCCAGTTTTCAGCTTACTTGCACCAACAGATTACTGAATGGACTGTTGGGAAACTATTGCGCGAGCAGTCAATGTTCCCTGGCGATCCTCCAGTGTAGTAGATGCAGTTGTTAGCCCTGAAATCGAAAAATGGTGACCCTGCATAGCTTCTCCCTGCATTGGTTGCCGAGCAGGTGAGGTTGAACACACTTTCCACCAAAGCAACAACGGCAGTCCTGGTGTTGATCTGCGCCATCTCATCTGGCCCGCACTGCGTGTAGCCGTTGTCGATACAAACCTGGGTGCATCCAGGGCAATTCGGTGCTCCTGGAGGGTTCGGATTTGGGCCCATGATCCAGCGAGGCACCAAGACTGCGGTAGTGGTACTCGCAGTTGTTGACATCGTCGTTGCCTCCGTGCTGCTTGTACTTGCTGCCGTGGTCGTCGTCGCCTCCGTGCTGCTCGTCGTTGTGGAAAGGGTTGTTGTAGTTGCCTCCGTGCTGCTTGTACTTGCTGCCGCGGTCGTCGTTGCCTCCGTGCTGCTTGTACTTGCTGCCGCGGTCGTCGTTGCCTCCGTGCTGCTTGTACCTGCTGCCGTGGTCGTCGTCGCCTCCGTGCTGCTCGTCGTTGCGGAAAGGGTGGTTGTAGTTGCCTCCGTGCTGCTTGTACTTGCTGCCGTGGTCGTCGTTGCCTCCGTGCTGCTTGTACTTGCTGCCGTGGTCGTCGTCGCCTCCGTGCTGCCCGTCGTTGCGGAAAGGGTGGTTGTAGTTGCCTCCGTGCTGCTTGTGCTTGCTGCCGTGGTCGTCGTCGCCTCCGTGCTGCTCGTCGTTGCGGAAAGGGTGGTTGTAGTTGCCTCCGTGCTGCTTGCCGTCGGTGTCATTGTTGGAGTAGTTGTTGAAGTCGTCGTTTTGGGCCCGTAATAACCGTACTTGCTGTAATGACCGTAGCGTCTTTTGCGCCAACGGAACCGACGCCACTTCTGAGCTGGACTCTTTGTCTCCAGCTGTGCGGAGAGATTCCCCTTAACCTGCAAATGAGCAGCTTCATCTTGCCCATCGGGACACATGTCCGAGGCGAGACCATGCGCAACAAGCAAGAAAGCGCAAAGCCCCAGCGTGCCAAGCACGTGCTTCATGCCACGCGCACGCGCTTCTACCTAGGCTACTGACTGATCCTTCTTCACCCAGGCACAGCGCTCGAGCCCTTCACTTTCAATAGCAAAACTCATTATGTTTCTTCAACCCTCAATGTCAAAAATGGACTACTCGGGGCGCTAGCTGCTGGTTGCTTCATGGGTACTTAAAAAACTGGGGTATAAGCAGTAGGGCAACCATAGAGTTGGCTAGAACCCAAATTCGGGTACATGTAACCCCACTTAGACTTCTAAGCACTCTAAACCCTAAACCCGAAACCCTAAACCCTAAAAATGAACCTCCCAGTAGCAGCCCTCCCAGCTCCGAGTCGCAAAACCCCAAAGAGTCCGAAATCCACCCGCCCCAAATCCCATTCCCCAGCTCATTGCATCAAGCCTCCCCTCAACCCTAAACCCTAAACCCTGAACCACCACCCGAACCATAAACCCTGAACCCGAAACCCGAACCCCTGAGCCACACCTTCGCCCTACGCCCTGAACCCTAAACCCTAAAACCAAGTCCCTAAAGTCTACAACATCTCGGAACTCTAAACCTCCCTGGACCCCCTAAACACCTCCAAATCCCCCCAGACCCCAAATACCCTTAAAACCCCCAAACCCGAAATCTCCAACTCCGTGTAAAAAAAAAGACAACGCCTAGCCCACAAAACCCTGAAGCCGAAGACCCAAGCCCCTACACCCCTATGTAAACCCCCGAACCACTAAACCCCTAAACCCTAAACCCTAAAGCCTAAACCCTAAGCCCTAAGCCCTAAGCCCTAAACCCTAAACCCTAAACAACAAAATCCTGGCCTTGAGCAAGATTCAGCCATCTGAGCGCTGGCCGGCTCTAGAGCCGCCTACCAGGATGGGCCAGTGCACTCGAAAGTATCTGGGCCTGGGTTTAGGGTTTAGGGTTTAGGGTTTAGGGTTTAGGGTTTAGGGTTTAGGGTTTAGGGTTTAGGGTATAGGGTTTAGGGTTTAGGGTTTAGGGTTTAGGGTTTAGGGTTTAGGGCTTAGGGCTTAGGGTTGAGGGCGAAAGTGTGGGCCCTTTATGCTACCCTAAACTGAAATATCAGTGTATCAATCATGGTATATCACTGCAAAAAACTGCATAAAACTGCATAAGATTGGATGTGTGTTTCAGATTCGGGCGTCACTGACGATCGTAGTAAATCTTGTACATTACCCTATACTTCTCGGGACCTAATTGTGACGCAGGCTTCTAGCATGCTATTTCTTAGGTCTCGGGCTGGTATAAGGCGAGAATATATACTTCTATATTGTAGCATATCATTGTAGACTATGGTATTTCGTTGTATACTATAGTAGACTGCACCTGTTCGTTGAAGATCGCAGCATGTCATTCTATACTGAAGTTTGTCAATGTGCATTATATAGCCATTTCAGCATATCATCGACAACGATGTTATTGCAGATGATAACAAGAATTACAGCAGCCTGTACTAATAAACCCTAAACCCTAAACCCTAAACCCTAAACCCTAAACCCTAAACCCTATCTCCGAGACCCAACACTAAACCCTACTCAGATGCGCGAATAGACCCCAGAATCCCCAATATAGTAATATAGTATTATAGTAATATACGAATATAGAAATATAGTAATTTATAGATATAGTAATATAGTAATACAGTAATATATAAATTAGTAATATAGTAATATAGTTATATAATAATATAATAATATAATAATATAGTAATATAGTAATATAGTAATATAGTAATATAGTAATATAGTAATATAGTAATATAATAATATAATAATATGTAAGATAATAATATAGTAATATAGTAAGATAGTAATATATAATATAGTATATAGTAATATAGTAATATAATAATATAGTAATATAGTAATATAGTAATATAGTAATATAGTGATATAGTAATATAGTAATATAGTAATATAGTAATATAGTAATATAGTCATGTAATAATATAGTAATATAGTAGTATAGTAATATACTAATAATGTAATATAGAAATATAGTAATATAGTAATATGTATATATATATATTAATATAGTAATATAGTAATATAGTAATATAGTAATATAGTAATATAGAACCCTAAACCCTAAACCCTAACCCTAAACCTCAACCCTAAGGGTTTCGGCCGTAAAAGTACCATTCGTGTCGCGCCGCCTGGCTAGACGAGAGCAAATCAGCTCCTGCATGCCAAGCATGGGATTCTGGGTTCGGGGATGGAGGTTCAAGCAACTTTGCAACAAGAACAATAATAACATTTTAGCAATGATAAGAATAATCATATATATATATATATTCATTTATTTATGTATTTATATATGCTAGCATCAAAATATGATCATCTAAAGAATCATAGTCAGGGACAGCTTCAGAAGAGGACAACTCCTAGCCTTACATATAAGCTTCCATGTCGGGATATATAAGACTTCCAAGAGATAAGGCGGAGGATCACGTAAAGGGCCTAAAAGGGAACCTACAGTATGCCCACTTTAAGCTGCACGGCACGAGTTTAAAAAACCGCTCACAGCTAAGCCCTTGGCTCCTTGAATGACCTGCACATCAGCACCCAAGCTTTAAGGCGTAGGGCTGAGGGGTTAAGGGCTGGTTAAGGGTTTAGGGGTTTAGGGGTGTAGGGGTGTAGGGGTTTAGGGTTTAGGGTTTAAACCCTGCACCCTAAACCCTGGCCTCAGGGACGTAGGGTTTAGGGTTTAGGGTTTCGGGTTTCGGGTTTAGGGTTTAGGGTTTAGGGCTTTCCGGCATCCGCTCATCGCTCCTTGTTGCCGCCACTGACGTGCCGCCTGGCAAGCGGCCACGTGTTTACTGAACTTTAGGGTTTAGGGTTTAGGGTTTACGGCTTAGGGCTTAGGGCTTAGGGCTTAGGGTTTAGGGTTTAGGGTTGAGGGTTTAGGGTTTAGGGTGCAGGGTTTAGGGTTTAGGGTCATGAATCTTGGAGCAGGGAAACAAAAAACGAAAGCGTAGCGGCAACATCACCCTACCTTATTTGCGCTTCCTAGTCTAAGTTCGAGCCATATCGCTACCTTAAAACCTCAACCAGGCCTAAACCCTAAGGGACTACAGCTGAGAGACTTTGTTCACATACGAAAATTCCCCCAGCCAGCCCTCAGACCTCAGACAACAGCCCCCCGCATCCCGAAACCCGAAACCTAAACCCTAAACCCTAAACCCTAAACCCTAAACCCTAAACCCTAAACCCTAAACCCTAAACCCTAAACCCTAAACCCTAAACCTGACCAAGACACCTTGGTCTTGGGGTTTCGGGTCGAGCACAATGCCGCGCGCTGTCCCCAACACTAAGAAGGTGAAAGGGGGCGGCTGGCTCCAGAAATAAGGTTTAGGGTTTAGGGTTTAGGGTTTAGGGTTTAGGGTTTAGGGTTTAGGGAAGCCCCAACATGAAGGGACGTAAAAGGCCAGGGTTCGGGTCCGAGTTTATGCACTGCAGCTTAGGGTTCCCTCAACCCTAAGCGCTAAGCCCTAAACCCTAAACCCTAAACCCTAAACCCTAAACCCTAAACCCTAGAAGCCCCAGACGGATGGATGGATGGAAGGCTGGGAGCCCTCGCATCTATGCGACTGCCGGGAACTCACGGCCGATGCCCAGACTCAGTGTGGGTTGGGGTTTAGGGCTTAGGGCTTAGGGTTTAGGGTTTAGGGCTTAGGGTTTAGGGTTTAGGGTTTAGGGTTTGGGGTTTGAGTTTAGGGTTTGGGGTTTAGGGTTTAGGGTTTAGGGCTTAGGGTATGTGAGTTTAGGGCTCAATGGTGACGTGCGTCCCGGCCTCTAAACCTAGCAGCCTCTCTGCGTCGGGAATCGACGCCAGCAGGGGCGCGCTGAGCTTCCTTTGCTTGGCCATGTGTTTCGGGGATTAGTTTGGGGTTAGGGCTTCGGGTTCAGGGTTTAGGGTTCAAGGTCAGCGGGCTTCGGGTCTTGGGGCTTTAGGGATTTCGGGTCCTTCCATGCAACATCTTGCAGTTTAGGCTCGAGGGCTTATAAGGATTGAGGGTTGAAGTTGGACTACCCCAATTCGCCCCCTCTTAAGGTATGTAAAACACGAATGAATATCTACATACGAAGTCACCCGACCCTAAACCCAACCCTAAACCCTAAACCCTAAATCTATAGGGTTTAGGGTTTAGGGTTTAGGGTCTGATTTGGATTCCCACTATGTCTTCGGCACTCTCTCTTAGCTAAGAGATACTGGAGTCACCGGATTCCTTGAACCCGAAAGCCCCGAAACGCTCTGACTCCTGAAGCCCTCCAAACCCTCTGAGAGGGGGTTTAGGGTTTAGGGGCTTGGGGACCCTTAACCCTAAACCCTAAAAACCCCGGCGGCACTTTTTGAGGAAGCCTTCCTAAACCCTAAACCCTAAACCCTAAGCCCGAAATCCTGAAACCCGAAGTGATCAACCCCCCTGGCAACTTTGAGCTTGCGCGCCGGCAAGGGTCGCGAGTGGCTCCTTCAAGAGCTCACTGTAGACACTGTGCAGGAGCCTTGTCTTCGCCGGAACCCTAAACACTAAACCCTAAACCCTAAACCCTAAACCCTAAACCCTAAACCCTAAACCCTAAACCCTAAACCCTAAACCCTAAACCCTAAACTTTGGCTTTCTAGATGCCCCTGACTTAAGGCACAGACCTTCAATCATACGAAGGACCCCCTACATGGTTTGCCCCTGACTTGAGGAACATACCTGAAATCATACTAAGGACCCCCCCCCTTACATGGTTTAAGGCATAGTGTTTTAAGTAAGGGGTATTGGGCTCTCTGGATACCTTAGGGTTTAGGGTTTAGGGTTTAGGGTTTAGGGTTTAGGGTTTAGGGTTTAGGGTCTAGGATTTAGGGTTTAGGGTTTAGGGTTTGGGGTTGAGGGTTTAGGGTTTAGGGTTTAGGGTTTAGGGTTTCATAAGGGAACCAGGGAGGAGAAGGGGGGGGGGGGAAGCTAAGGCCTGGGGAGCTCGATTTCGAGCGTTTTGGT